GCGGGGCTTCCTTGCACTCCCGCCGGCCTTGCAGGTCCACCGCCGGGCCCCTCATGGGGCTCGGCAGTAGAGCTGCAAGGCCGGCGGCGGCAGACGGGACCGTTGGGGGCGGTGTGTGTGGCCTTATGACACACTTCCGGCGATGTCAGGGGGTGTGGCCTTATGACACACTTCCGGTGATGTCAGGGGGTGTGGCATATGCTAATGAGTTATGCTAATGAGTTTCCCTAGCTCTTTTTCTACGAAACGACCCCTGTAAATAACCAAAGGTGTTACAAGAGGGAGCACCCAGTGCATACTGAATGTACATCAAGCTTTTGTAGGGCACATGCACTGTGCTCTTCAGATCTCACTGACTGTTCACATCACAGTAGCTGTGAGACTTACAAGGCCGTAAGAGTTATAGTTTCTCTCTATAACAGAAAACAGAGAGAAAAACTTGCTCTGTCCCATTTCCTACAGTCCCAGTTTAGCAGAAAAACAAGAACATAGGAAATTGTTCTGCAGGTGTGCACAGGAAAGAAGGCTTTTGAATGGCAGCTGCGAATCTGTTCACATGCTAACTTCTTTTTAGAGAGGGTGCACTGAACGGTTGTCTGGGAGCTTAGTAAACATGGCTCAGATATAGAAGGAAGTGCTCTGAACTTGTTTGCAACCAAGGTTGAATTTTAGGCATCAAGTTTTACAGTTTTTTAAATGTAAGAAATGGATTTCTAATCTTGGTTTTTGATAGGATGAGTAATTAAAGATGGCCCTGTGCTGTTATTGTAGGGATGGATCCTCTCTTGCACTGCACTGCTTGGCTTTGGTCCAATATGTCCTATCTATCTCCATAAACTTAGGCCAGCTGTTGATTTCTGAGACTGAATCCAGGAGGAGGGGTGGGTGTAGCAGGCTTATCAATGATCCAAAAAAGCTCTCTTTTCCAAAAACGTTCCAGCTGTTCCTCTCACAGGATGGGTTTAGGAATTTATTTATTTAGCTTGTTTGTTAATTTCCTTGTGAAATAGAAATGCCAAGCTAAATTCACCGTGGAGTCTTGCTCTCTCACCTGTTAGCCTTCCAATTCACGTAACCTTCCCCTTTTTAAATGCACAAGTTTTGGGCCTTGGGAGTCCACGGTTATTTTGTTCTGCAGCGTCCACAGATTCCTAGCACAAACAAGCCAAGCCCCAGCTTCCTGCTATTCAAGAATTCCAGCATGTAGCCAGGGTGTTGCAGCCGGGACAGGAATCAAGATTGTTTAGATTCTGTCGATGGAGGGAAATAGAAACATGCAAACACAGAGAGCTACAAGGCTGCAAAGATCTATCAGAACGAGACAAAAACAGCATGGCTCCAGCCATGAAGCCGCCTTGAGGGGCCATGAACTCCCCGGAAACAGCTTGCTTTTGTTGTTGATCACGGAGGGGAAACAGAGGCCACAGATAACATTGGCTCATAGTGAGATCAGAAAGGGAGATCATGGTCTGATAAAGATGTAATGCCGGCTCCCTGAAAATTAGAAGCCTGCATTAGGAGCACAAACTCTCTCTTCCTTTCTCCAGCACAAATTCTATCCTTCCTTCTCTCATCAGCCTTAGCCAAGTTACATCTGCACTG